CCCTTTAAGTATTCTACTAGTCGCCATGCCCTTCCAGTACTGGTGCTCGCTATCAGCCCCGTTCTGCCAGCGAGGTCGGCCACCTCTTTGGCAGTGGTCCCCGATACTTCCCCATCTACCGGAGGAATTGGAAACTACTACTTGGGCGGGAAACCACCTAATTTTGCTCAGAGGTCTCCTTGAGGCATGAGGATCTTTTACGTGCCGTAAATCTACGACACGGGACACACGACTTGAAAGTCCCTCCCTTAATTTTTCCGCCCTTAAAAATTCCACCACCTTGGCCAAGTTTGAACCCGCGTACCTTGAGTCATGAGGTGGGAACGTTACCCCTAGACCACGGAGGCCGCTTAAATGTTAACGTAAGTCCAGTTCCAAAATCATTTCTAACTTCAGTACAGTGAGCACAGCTCGAAGGCTCCTTTTGCAACCTAACCGACTCTCCGTCATTAAAGCCACAGCGGAGTACAAATATTTTGACTATTGTTCCTGGGCCTTAGGTTTATTCACTTCCATAAGTGATCATGAATGGCGTTCTGCTGGCTCTTCTTCCTCAGCAAGCAGCTGGGAACCTCGGTTTGCAGTCTGTGGTGCTTACCGTCCGATACTCCCACTTTCGGCTGACAGTGACTTCTGAGTATCTTCCCTGTTGAAATTATTTCTTCCATTGTTAATTCCTGGAAAATTAGCATTTATTAAGATTAGTACCTTATTAAACTCGTAGATACAAGAAAACGGCAATTGAAGTCTGGCATAGACTTGCCAAACTTCCAGCGTCAATTTGTGAACACTTTACGTTTCCGAAAGTTGACTCCGAATATGGACAGCAAGCGATATAAAATTTAAGGCCCCAGTTTATAGACACCTTACCAAAATGTGACATGCAATTGCATTAACAGTTAGACACTGAAGAAAATGCCCATGCAATGTGCTTTAAGTACCCAGGCTTTTCTTTTAAGTTTCTTGGGGTGGGGTGAGACTGATTCCACTTCGTACGTCGGTCACTAATTGACTAATTGTACCAGCCACGGTAGATGATGATGCATATGGAGCAGTCGTTGGAATGAGAATTGGCAGGGGAAACCGAAGTCCTCGGAAAAAACCTGCCCCAGTGCCACTTTGTCCACCATAAACACCATTACTTGACCCGGGCTGGAACCCGGGCCGCCTCGGTGGGAAGTCAGCGACTAACCACCTGAGCTATGTCAAGGCCAAAGTATTCAGTTAATTATGATTTTGTAAACAGTTAAATTTAGAATATGATCATACCAAAATATGGCACGTAAATTAAATTTGGATGTATATCAGTCAACATGTCAACATGTACTTTATCCGGAAATTATGATTTTACACTGTTAACTCACGAATTAGATATGGTTACATTTTCGGGA